ATGGTAATCCTCCTGTAGGTTTTCTCATGGCCATGATGTCAGTGCTGACTTATAGCAACCCCCTGTGTGTTTCTTGTCTGCCATCCAGTCAATGCTGACTCACAGCAAACCCTTGTGGGTTTCCAAGATGGTAACTGTTTACAGGAGTAGAAAGCCCAGGCTTTCTCCCTGGAATTGCTAGTGGATTTGAACTACCACCATGCAGATTGTAGCCCAACTCATAACCAGTACACCACTAGGGCTCCTACAGAGACTATATATCCCCTCTTCCTCAAAATGATCACAACTACACACCCACACACCCAAATCCCAAACTATTGATGTTGCTTCCATTTCAATGCATATATAAGGTTTTAAGGACTGTAAGTCTTTATGTGTGTGGGAAGCCTCATCCTCCCAAAGAGAGGGTGATTGATTTGAACCACATACCTTGTGATTAACCCACAGGGCCACCAGGCCAACGTGAGTTCAAACCACCAAGAGTTTAAGCATTTGTGTCAGTTGCCTTTTAAAAAAGGATAAGTTTTCCCCAAATTTCAAACAGCTGAGGGAAGCCAAGGGTATGAGAGACTCCAACTTCCTGAAATACAAGCACTAAAACCCAAATGAAAAATATATTAACAAAGGAATTAGAAAACTATAAATAATTCAATAAACTGCAGCAGCATGTTCTCAGGGAATATTTGTAGCTAGTATTCATTAGAACAACAACAGACGCATATGAGTTGCTGCAAACGAAAAAGTTGTTACAAATTAAAATATGATTGCCAGCATTTTAAATTAAAGTAAATCGTTTGCTTGCCTGAATGCACAGAGGTAATTCTCAAATTAGTGAACTGAACACCTAAATTGAGAGATAATGGAACTCATTCAGGAAACTTTAAAAGACACGGAATGATACAGTACCTTATAGTAAGGGGCAACTCCTTTTTCCTCTCACTTTTGATTAGGTAGGAAGTGAACTAGCAACATCGGCCAACTCTCTATGCCTCTAGAGAGATTTCAGGCACCCACACGGCGTCAGAGTCTCAAAAACCTTCCATGTCTTTGGTGCTGCGTGATTCCCAGAGGGCTGCCAGGAACTGGAGTGAACGTGATGGCAGTCGGTACTGTATCATAGAATTAAATATCTTCCATGGTACAGCAAACATGTATAACAATCTCCTGACAAGAAGAGCTGATGACCTAATTTTAGTAAAGCTCAAAATAGTAA